CCTCATCTACTAATTTGCTGCTGTTTATATCAGAAACAGGATGCTCTAACTTGTTAACTACAGCTATCTAGGTTATGATAATATATATTCAGCAAATACATCCTCTTAATTTTGTTACTTTTCTGTCTTCTCTTCAGTGCCTAAGTACAGCTGAGACTGACCAAATCTAGCAACAGCTGCCTACTCCTGGCAGATTTTAACCCTTGCAACAAAGCACCAAAGTTCTCAATCTTAATGCCTCTGCAGCTTGTAACACTCACTACAAAACACAGCTTCATTGCATTCCATCAAAACCAGATGATGATGCCTAAATAGCCAAGGTATGTCACTGGGCAAGTGGGAAAAACTGGCATTTTTTTCTTACCACATTGGAGGGGATTCTGTGGGACAGAGTGCTTGCCACCTGAGTAACTTTATGCTGTTTGAGGGCAGGCCTTGGATGTCTTTTCCAAGGTGCAGAATATTGCTTGCATTAGTTTTTTAACCCCACAGTATATGTCACACTTTGATGATCATGAAGAAAACAGAAGATACATTAGTTTTACTCTAAGATAAATTTAATGAGATAAGGGACAGCATGGACCTCATGTAATTTATCTGCAATAAAATGTAAGTGGGAATCACCTTGAGATCTAGGCCATAGGAAAGCAGGTGTTTATTACCTTTGATATGTATTTGTAACAAAAGATCCATTTGCATGTAAAATATATTGCAAAGACTGATCAAAATACGGTATTGGCAGCAGTGATAAAGTACTTGATCATGAGGTGTGGTTTGCCAGTCAAAGAGAAATTGTTGCTCTATTCTTAACCTCTCTCCTCTTAACCTTTGCAGACACAAGATCAAGGTAGTGAATGATACAACAGTAGATTTGACTCTTTTGCAGCATCACAAACTCCATGTTTGCTCTTATTTGCCAAATACACAAGAAGCAAATTTAAAATTTTCTGAGCATCTCAGTCAAAGAATAAAATTGGAACTTTTATCTACCCTTTATATGCCATGTACTGCATTTGTTGTCCTTTGCTGCTGATAAGCCACCCTGTGTTAAAAAGAATAGATGTTCTGCTTTTACCCTTAAATCCCCTTGGTAGAAACAGCGACCCTGATTCTATCCTCATACAAGCATCATTCTAAGTGCAGGCCATGGGAAAACCACTTTTTTTAGAAAGTGTTTTCTACTTTATTAATTTTAAACTTACTTTTATATATTGTGTCACAAAAATCCCTCTTTCTGTGAGTTGAAATAAACCCTAACAGTGTATGAGCATAAACAGCTAGCAAACAGTAGGAATAGTTTTACCTTTGCACTATAAACACTATCCATTTCTTTAAGTTATGCAAATAATTTGGGGTGCAATAACATGGATTAAGGCAATTTCAGAAAGGAAAATTCATTGTTCTTAGGGAAAGCTGCCTTAATCACTTCATACTTACATACAGTACTTGGACTTGGCTGTGGAAATACTGCAAAGTTCTCATTCCTGTGGTCTAAATCAGCAGTGTGGTAGCTAGCTGAACTGCAGCGGCAGCTGAAAAGCCAATGTTTGCTTTTACAGCACTGCAGCTATGTAGACAGGGACTCCAGAACTGTAAAATCACATCTCATGTAGCAAACCTAATGAAAAAAACAAAAACAAAACCAAAAAAACCCACCAGCATAAATGACAATTTTTTTTTTTTTAAATGGGAGCAAGAGAACGTAGGTAACCCTCTTCTGTCTGGTTCTGTTAGTGTAGTAGGACTCTGGTATTAGTTTCATAAGGCTGTTCAGACATATAAACACTCTTTCCTTTGCAACCTCTCAAATTATTCCACACTTCCACTGGAAGCGATTTCTTCTGCAAAGAGATATTCCCAAATCCCCTAGTCAAGGAGCCAGGTGGATTAAAAAAAAAATGAATAGAGATAACCCTCTGCCTTAAGGCAGCTGGATATTTAGCCTATTATGTCCTTTATTTTTTTTAAAGCCTTATCTTCTCCAAACTCTCCTTTCCCCCCTCCCTTTCCTTCCTTTTGTCATTTTAAAAGCCCAGTAAGACTCAGGCAGCTGGCAACCTTCAGGTCACTTGGATGCCACTGCTGTTTCAAAATTATCTCCTTGATCTGAGCAAGATTATTTTTTTATCCCTTGGAACAGAATCTGGTCCTTTTCAATTTCATCTGTTAATGCAGACTCTTCCTTCTATCTTGGAGTCTGTAATAACATTAATTGGGGCCAAGCACATGCAGCTAGCTTGGGTACAGCATAGGTGACACTGTGGGTGCAGAGAGATGTGGAAGACTGGTGGAAATGTAATGTGCTTGTTATTTAAAGCTCACTAATAATCACAGTAGTTATGTCTTGGTTGCCAGTTTTTAGATTTGTGCGTTGAAATATCTTGAACGAAATGTTAGTGAGAGCAATTTTGCAGCATCCTGCTGACTTGAATTCAAGGTGCTGCCTCGTTTGCCATCTGCCTGCAAGCTCACAGTAGTAATTATAGCGAGTCTCGCAAGTGCTGGAACAAGAGGTATGTCAAATGCATTTTCCTTCCATTTGAAGGTAATTTTCGTTTTCTCAACTCATTTGAAACTACATACGATTATAAGCTGCAGGTGTGAGAGCCACACAGAAGCAGACAGACATATGTACACGCCCATGAAGCAAGATATCAACTCCTAGAGTGTCCAGAAGAATTTATGTACTTATCTCAGCACTTTTAAATTAAATGCAGTGCTGGAGAATTTTCCTTTCTTATTACTACTCCTATCCTTGTGCATAGAATCTTAACATCTCTTATTAGTGTGACAATATAAAAACCAAAAAAGCATGGTTGATTTTACTGAGCATCGCTGAAATAATATGTGGGTCCTGAAATAATATGGAGTCCTGGAACTGCCTTTTGTTTGGAAAGTGATTAAAGACCCAGTGCATTTGAGCATTGGTCACATGGGAGGAGGGGGAGGTTTGATTCTGGTATGGCGCATGGGAGCGAGGTGGAACCAGGGATCTGGTCCAGTTCTTCAGGAATCTGCACCTTCATGTCAGGGTATACAGGGAGCCATCTTTCAGAGCTGTGTCTGGAATTCACTTTGAAGCAGTGGAAGAGTAAGCAGGAAGAAGGATCACTTGTCATGGCATACCTTCTATACTGATCCACCAAGAAAACTGGGGTAGGAGAGAAGAATGAGTAGAAATTTGCTTTTCCTGGATTTCCTTGCAGGACCTGCATGCTTGCTGTCACCCACTGAAGGTGACAGCATTCATAATCCAAATGCACATTCTCCTAAAGGTGGCTGTTGTGACTGTCTGAACTATTTCCCATTTTGCTTGTCCTATGGATTTGTGTTTCATGGTAACTTGTGAGCTCTGAATAGCAACATCTCCATGTCTAGGGTATGTACCCTCTTCTTTTCTCACCTTATTCTATAGCCTCAGTCAGTAGACTCTCAGGTGGCTAATGCAGGCTGAGCTGATTCAGTTCCCCAAACTGAAGGAGTCCATCATTCTGTCAGAGGCAGCTGAAATTACCTGATAGGGTCAAAAGTTATTGAAGAACATATATAAAGTGTGATCACATAAGTAACGTTTCCATAGGAACCGGCTAAAAATACATCTGTATGAACGCTCAGTACCTATCGTGATGAACTATTATGTAAGTAGGTCTTTTTTCCTCAGCAAGAACACTGCAGATACTTGTTAATAATTTGTGGTAGAATTTACAGACAAGTTTACAAGTCTTCATGTGTGCAGTCGGCTGTGTGCTTATTACATTGTCTGTCTTCACTCCTGCTGACTAAACCAGGAAATTAACAGAGCATCTTTTCTCAAGGCTTAAAAACATCCAGAAGATTAAAAATAGCCTGAGGCTTAAAAACTTCCTCACTTGGTAAGACAAACAGAGTTCTGGACTAACAGTCATTTAAATGTGAGTGTTATAACTATAAGTACAGTATGTGAAAGGTGGAGAGGAAGGCTTGGAGGCCTGTACCTCATGGAAAGTGTGCCATATTCCACCATGGCAATGTGTGAATATTTACTATTTGCAAGTAATGAATCTCTGCAGAGCAGGAAATTGTCACCAAATAAATAATTCACATTATAAATAGATTTGTACCTTGTGATAAATGTTAGGATCCAGATTTTTACGGTGGGGTGATTTAGGTTGGATGAGATGAGGCAGAGGAGGTATTTTTACCATGTGGTGATGTATGTTGTAACATCATGCATCCTCCATGACCAAGTTGAATTTCTGTGCTTGCTTTTGTCTTTGTTTTCAGAAGCCACTTAGAAATTTCCTATTGTGCCAGCTAAAAGATGGGACTAGATGATGGTTAGGAAAAAAAGCACCAAAAGTATCTGGCTTGAAGAATTGTATAGAAGTGTCCACCACTGGACTTCTTAAAATCATTCTGTAGCCTGTCATAATAATTTTTCTCAAGTTCCAGAATTTATTTTCTAATTCTCTGGAAGCAATTTTCATCCTGTTCTGATCTTCTATTTTATTTTCCTTCAAAATCACATTAGGGTTAAACAATAAAGCTTAGCATCAGAAGTTGGTTTTTTTTTTTTTTTCTTTCTGTTTTTTTCTTTTTTGTTAAATATTTAACAGGAAGAAAAGCTAAGACTGTATATGTAATAATAAAATTTAAGAAGTGTGCATAATGTTGTACCATGCATAAAAGGGAGGAGGAAAGAGTCCATATGTCCTCTGAGCCTCAGAAAATAGCATGCCACTGGACAAATTCTGAACTGTGATTATTAGCAAATGATTAATAACTTACAGATCTGGAGTTAATCATCAAATGTATTATTTAAACTAAAAATGAATTGAAGAATTCAACGTTCTGTCAGTGAACAATTCATTGATAGAAAAGAAAAAAGGATGAAATTAATCAAATAAATAATTCATTGTAAATCATTTGGTTCTAATTATAACAAGATGCTAAAAAATAGATCAGCTTCTCAAAGCATGGCAGAATTCTGCTACGCATACATATCACCACAAATGCAGCTGTCAAAGTATAATCCCTGTTTTAATTGCTTTTGGTTCAGGACAATAGTCAGGTACAGGAGTGGTAACAAAAGTGTTGACCTACCCCATTTATTAAAAGCTATTTTGTTTGCTTGCTTGCATGACAGAGCATCCTGAGCTAGTGCTTCTGCAATGTGAGAAAGACTGGCCTGGCCTTCCCAAATCCTCAAAGCAAAAGCCTGCATAAAATTGAGGTTTTATGACCTTTTCTCTAACTGACTCCCAGCTCAGAGGTCTGTACCTCTCTTTTCTGAGGGGCTGGTTAATAAAACAGTGAAGAGCAGGCTTTTCCTGGCTTCCTTTTTGTCCCTCATGAAGAAGCCCTAGTTGATGCTCCTGCAGGACACTGGCTGGCTCTGGGTGTAGCAGCCTGAAGAGAGGATCCCTTCCCTGGCTGATGCAGGAATCTTGCCAGAAACATTGCTCAGCAACCCAGGCGCTGCTGAATTTTAGATGGAAGATGAGGGAGAGGCAGCACAGAAACAAATTAGACTTGGATGAACATGTTTGTTCTGAAGCCTAGAGAACCTTCTATCACCAGGCACTTCACCTTCCTGAAGTCTTTGATAGCTGAGACCTGGGTTTAGCATGCCATACTAGTTCCACTGTGCTTCTGCAAGTAGGTTGGATCAGATGATCCTGGAGGTTCTTTCCAACATGGTATTCCATTCTATGATTCACTCCCCCATCCAACTGAGCGACCAGCAGCATTAAAAAGACTGTACAAGTGAATAGGCAGTAGCCAGCATTTATACTATTTTTTTTTTTAAGCTTTCACTTATCTTCCTCCCTATCAGTAGAATGAGGAAGTCTTGAGGTTTTTGTTGTTGTATTTTCAAAGAAAGTCAGTGTTGGTTGGGTTCATTTGCAAGAACTGTGTTACCCAGCCAAGGACAAATCCAGCTCCATGCCCTGTTCTCACAGAGGTCCTTGTTCAGTTGCCATCAAAAGAAGGGCAAGCAGTTGCAGTGAGAAGATGAGAGCATTTTCCATGAGATATCTGTATAGATTTTGAACAAAACAGCTTTTATTGCTGTAACAACTTTTAGGGCAGCCTTGGAACAAAGGCAGGAAAGAAATCATGAGTGTGAAAATAGCTGACATGAACTGGAGCATCCACTTAACTAAAAATTGCTTTTTCTAGAAAGCAAAAATGTCCCTATCCTGTCAAAATTGGAGCAATGGTTGGAAATCTGACATGCTTCATGGTTCAGTGAGTTCAGCATTTTTGAATATTTGTGCAGCCTCTTGGATTGTTGCACCATAAGTTCAGGCAACAGCTGGATGTCTGACCCTGTGACCATGCTGTAAGTGTCCAGTTCTTTAGCCATGAGAAATTGCTGAAGATGCTGGTTTTCTCTGCAGCCAAATAATAAAGCAGAATGCACCTTGTGTACAGTACCTGTAAGATTATTTAAAAGTAAGGTGAAAGAGCAAGATGAATGTAAAGAAGGTTAAAGTTGTCATTATATCACCCATGCCGTATCATATTAGTAAAAAATAAAATCATTAGAATAATACAATCTCCCAAATGTTTTTGCATCAGCATTTTGTCCTCTGAAAGTATATTAGAAGCAACTTTTGCACTGTCCTTGTAAAATTTGCAGTGACAGAAAGTTTCTTACCATAAATATATAATAATTCTTTCTTTTTTTCTCCTTCAATTTCAGACCCCTAAATACTACTCAATAACCCCCAATACGCTGGTGATGCTGGGATTTTTCTAATGTTAGCAATTTTGAATATGCTCACAATGTTTTTGCCTTAGTGGTATGAAAGCAATCAGCACTGCAGAACAGGAAAAAAAGAGACCAATGCCATGTATTAGTCAGACTCAAAACATGACAAAATTCAGATTACCCCATGCTGAATACAAATGTGGTAGAAATGTTCAGAAACTGCAATCAAATAGCTTTGAATGTCAAACGAAATTACTTTGGGAGTCTTCTAAGCCCTCTTCTTACAGCACACTGGAACATAAATCCCCTACTTTCATTTGATTAGTCCAAAAGGCTATAGGATGTGTTATTAAATCTAGAAAACATGACCAGAGTCTTAGTCATTAGCATCGCTGAACACACAAATTCCTTTAGGTCTTTATTTTTTCTCTCTCTGTATCTTTTGAATAGAGCATGATCAGTGAACTTTTAAAATCAAAGTATACCTGAAACTCACTAACAGTTATAAATAATTTATTTTTTAAAGAAAATGCTTTGGGAGGTTTTTTTATCTGCTCAATTTGTGTGTCACAGCAAAGTAAATACATATTATATTATTAGTGAACATTAGAAACTGGCTAAAGCTATTTTGTTCCTTCTAGATGATAAGAATCTTTGGTTGACAAACTTCCCTGCAGTACAGGGGAGCTATAATCAGCTTTGGCAACAAAGCTTTGAAGTAATTAAGTCACGGAAGTCTGCACTTAATGAATAGTTGCAACACTGTGCACATTTTTCTTTTTTTAAACCTGGGAAAATGATAACAGCGAGTGAAGACAACTGTGCAAAAACATTGTTATAAACAGTAATAACAAGACCTCCAATCCCAGAAAACACCTCAATTTAAGAAAGGATTTATGCTTGTACCTTAGTTGTACTAAATTTAAGAATGAGGTAAGAACTAAGCTTGTAAATGCTCTCCTTGCAGACCCTTGAGTCTGCTTTCCTCTCATGGCTTCTTTTTGAAAGAGGTTTAAGTGATCATTATCATGACTGATGGGACCGTGTGGCACAGTATCTTGCACTGGGCAGACATACAGGATAGGCCAACCGTGGAAGTACAGGGCAAGTATTTAGTCCTCCTTGCTGTTAAACTCTTCCAGCCTCTAGTGGTTGGAGGTCCTCAGTTTGGCAGGAGGTCTTGATGTTTAAGAGCCTTTGATGGATTTATTCATTAATTTATTTATCTCTCCATGGATTTTTTTCTGAGAAGTTTTTTACAGATGTGAGTTTTTAGCATTCTACATGTTAAGAAATTCTACAGCTGAACTATGTGTTCTTCATATTGAAGGTACATTCTGAAAACTTTGTTTGATACCTACTAGTTCTTGTACTGGAAAAAAAAAAGAGTAATTGTTTCCTGTTGTATTTATGCCTTTTGCAATTTTTCCAATGCCTCTTAATCTCTATCTTCATGATTGCTGTTTTTTCCAATTGAGGAATCTCAACGTTGTTCCTTGTTTGGAAGCTGCGCCAAAAGTTGCACCTTTATTATGTTTCTTTGTGTCTCTTCTAGCTCAACTGATGTTTTTCTGAGATGAGTGGCTTTTGAAAGAACACAGGAAATAAGATGTGGGCATGATGTTCTACTGCTGGGAGTCCCTTTGACTTCTTGGCTAAACCAATAGTTTGAATGACATACAGAATAACGATAATTGATTACAAAATTGAAAAACTACTCTGTGTGATGGAAAAAGGGGGAAGATATCCTGTTAGATCACATATTGCCTCATGATTCTCACCAGGGAAGATGTGATGCCCCTTTTAGTTGCAAAGTCCATGGTGTATTGTCACTGCTAATTTTGCATCTATATGGGGTGCAGGTGAATATCAGCTGATGCTGTGGAAGTAAGTGGCTTGAACATTAGTTTCAGGGTCAAACTCTGCAGTTGTTGGTCATACACACATAAAGGAATGCACCTTCTTGAACAAGTCTTCAGGGCATGTGTTTTCTTGACATGCATTCCTAAAGGACCTTCTTAATGATCTACCTCTTAAAGGTCTGTGTGGATGTCTTGCAGAAGTCTGATGTTGTTATAGTAAAGGTGTAATTTCTGTACTGCTTTGCACATGGATTCTTTATTGAGGAAGCTTATTTTTGGTTTAACATACTCCATTTACATCTGCATCTTTGTTGAGGCTGTGAATATAACAGCAATAATAAGTCATAGATTTTATGGAGTGGTTAAATAAATGTCAGTGATGGGCTCTTTCCACAAATACTTTTTTTTGTGGAAAATAGTCCATATTTCCAGGAGTGAGAAATTATCTAGTCTCAGAAAAGGATACTATTATTATTCCTAGCTGCAATACAAACACAATATTTTATTCAACACTCTTTTTATGTTTGCAAATAAGTATTAGGATGAAAAAGAAAAATAATAGCACCCAGACACAGGCCTGGTTCTGTCTAAAGATGCTACTGATTCTTTTATTTCAGTTTACTTGTACTCAGAACACAGGTTCTTTTTGTGGGGAAAAAAAAAGACGAAATCAGCACTTTTCCCTCTAAAAAAGATTTACGTGTATGTTGCAATTAGGACAACAGATTCTCTCCAATTTTAGAAAAATTTTTGTTTAAAGTTGCAAGTGTGTGTATGCACCTCTACAATATCTGACATCTGCTTGATATACAGATACAGATATTTGTTTCAACATTGTGACAGTAGCAGATTTTTTTTAACATGTCAGTGCAATAAGATGACCTGAATGACAGAGATTTTGAAATCAAGGATTTTCTGATTTATTTGCAGGCCATATTCTCTAGTCCAGGCCAGTTGCTTCTGAAACTGGTGGTATTTCTGTAAGATGAAATTTTTATTTTAACCTGCTCAGTCCTTTTTCCCTTCCTCTCCCCACTTCAGGCCTTTCAAGTTAGGACTTCATTGTTTCCTGCTCTTTATTTACTGAGTAGTGAAGGATATTTGGTCTCAAGTAGTCGTATTCTCCTAAATACAAGATTACCTTTGTCTTAGTGTCTGAGCCTGTATAAACATGCTATAAAGCCCTTAGGTGCCTACTCCTTTCCAAGCATGCTAGATGTGCTTCCATGTGATACAGCTTAGATACCATCGAGTCCAATCACGGGTCAAATGATTTTCCAGTCCTTACATCAATTTTTGCCCTGAAGGGCATACACAATGCCATGCAAAGCCACAAAACAGAAAAGGATTTTTCACAGCTAACCCAACTATGTTATGACCACAAGATGCAGCATTTCCTATATGTTTTCTATGTAAATTTGTCTGTTTTATGTCATGCTTCCTGTGCTTTCAGCAAGTTGTAACCTGGTGATGTTCTCTATAAATTAATATGAATAATTTCAATTTTTTACCTTGTCTCCAAGTTCCTGGCATTGTTTATTTCTCCTGATTTTTCTTGGCAGTTTCAGGAATTCCATCCAAAATGGAATCGTCTTTTTTTTTTCTCTTTGTAACCTTTGGTGTTTGCACTGCTCCTGTAGTCATTAACACCTAATGCATAGTTTTCCCCCGCTTACAGATTTTTTTATTTTTCCAAAAATATTCTCTTACTAGAATCTGTTTTAAACAGCAAGGAAGACCTGAATAAGATCATGGCAAAAGGCAAGCAGAAAAATGTTAGAGATAAGTACAGCTCTGGAAAATTCTAGAAGCAAAGTTAGGTGTCAAGGTAATCTGTGATGTCAGGGGGAAAATATATTTTCTTACACGTCAGTTTGGAATTATATGATTATTAGAGGATAATTCTGCTTAGGACTTGAGTCTTAATAGTTTTTTATTTACCTTTAGTATTCTGCAGCATCTTGGTGCTGCAGAGCTCTGGCTAAGTCTTGAAGAGAGTCTCACGAGGTATAGGTATTTTGGGTCTCAACGCAGAGATAGTTCAGACAGTCTGGAAACGTTGAGTCTTTGTTGAACTGTTTGGATGGAAACAATCTTTCCAAACTATGTAATGCTTTTTCCCCTTGCTTTATTTAGTTTGCAAGTTCTTTGAGGTCAATCTACATGTGTTTGTGTAGCAAGTGGTACAGAGGGCTGTAGTGTCAGTTGAGTTCCTACTTCAGCAATCAATGATTAATCTCACTATTTCTTCACAACAATGATTAAAATGCACTATCAAACTGGTGCCCCGTAACAGACATATGAATCTCTTTACTAAATTCTTCCAGCTATGTATTGTGATTACAAGAAAAATAGGGCTTCTAGTTTACATTATTTTTTGACAGACCTAAGACAAAATTGCCCACTTCTGGGGATTTTTTTCAAACCACTGTGTTTGCTGACTGCTAAAAAGGAAAGCAGGAAAGGAGTGTTTAAGAAGCTATTTTACATGTGGCTGCAGTTTGCCGTCTCTGTTCTTCCTCCTTTTGCAACCTCTACTCCTGCTTGGCCATTCCTTCCAATGCTCTGATGGTGCAGCATTTTCATGGGACTTGTGTGGATGTAGCAATGAAGGTGTGTGGTCATGGTAGTTCTGTGTGCCCAGGTGCCATCAGGTCATGGTGCAGAGAATATGGAAGGATGATGTGTTTGCTTAAATATGCTTACTGAGGATTTGATTAGTGTAAACTTTTCTGTCTCTGTTCAGCACTGGTGAGCCCATATCTGGAGAAGGATGCACTCCTGGGCTTCCTGGTGCAAGAGAGACATGGTCAGAATAAGGTCAGTGAAAGACCACAGAGATGATTAAGGAGTTGAGGCATCCTTTATAAATGAAGAATCTGGGAGAGCTGGGGTTGTTCAGTCTTGGAAGACAAGATTTAGGGGGATCACCAGTATGTGTATTAATACCTGAGGGGGTAATAAGGGAGAACCAGACTATCTCAATAGTACCTTATGACAGGACAAGAGATAATGGGTACAGGTTGAGTGACAAGAGATTTCATCTAAGCATAACTTTTTCTCTGTGACCACTGGCACAGGTTGCTCAGAGAGATTGTGGAGTCTCCATCCCTAGAAGTATTCAAACCCAGACTAGACATGGTCCTGGGCATCCTGCTGTAGCTCACCTTGATTGAAAAGGAGGATTGGACTAGATGACTTCAGAGGTTCCTTCACTCCTCAATAATGATGAGATTCTATTCTTCATATTGACTTTAAGTTATCATAGAATCAGAGAATGTGTTGAGTTGGAAGGGGCACTCAAGGATCATTGAGTATAACTCCTGGTCCTGCCCACAGGTGACACCATGTGCATGAGAGCATTGTCCAAATGCTTCTTGAACTCTGTCAAGCTTGGTGCTGTGACCACTTTCCTGGGAAGCCTGTTCCAGTGCTCAACCACTCTCTTGGGGAAGAACCTTTTCCTGATGTACAGTCTAAATCTCCCTTGACTCAGCTTCATCCCGTTCCCTCAGGTCCTGTCACTGGTGATGAGAGTGAGGAGATTGGTACCTGCCCCTTCACTTCCCCTCATAAGGCAATTGTAGTCTGCTGCAAGATCTCCCCTCAGTCTCCTCCAGGCTTAACAGACCAAGTGACCTCAGCTGCTCCTCATATGGCTTCCCCTCAAGGCCCTCCTCCATCCTCATGGCCCTCCTCTGGGTGCCCTCTAATAGCTTAGTGTCTGTTTTTATAACAGTTGTGCTTAAATGGCTCGTTAAATGAAACTTGGCTTTTAGAAAAGGAAAATAGAAGTCTATGTTGCTTCCAATGGTTATAATGTGTTACCAAGTGAAAGACTTAGTTCTAGTGAATGTGGGGTTTTTTTGCTGCTGTAACTTTCATACTTTTTCTGAGGACTTTTTTCCCTTCTTTAATTCTTTTGACAAATTAGGGAAGGCTTTCAGTAGAAGATGAAAATTCTTTTCTCTGCTATAGGGGAAGAATCCTGGGCCCAAGTGCTCATAAGTTTTGTCTGGTGATACCCAGATATATGTTAAAGGCTATTAAAAAGAATAATTCAAATAACAGAATTGTTCGGAAACAGAGTAACAGGGTGCGTTTTACTCTTGTGCTCCAAGTAAACTTCTCACAGTTATGGAGAGAGGAAAATGTTAAAGTCCCACCACAGGTTCATTTTATTCTTTTAGTTCAAAATTTACCAATCCTATTTCAGTTACATCAGTATTTACTAAATGGTTACCTCCATAAAGCCGAGTATTCAGCTTTTCAACATTTTATAGTGCTTCAGGTATATTCACTGATTACATCTCTCAACAACTCTGTGATGGCAATGAGTTGGTATATATTGCAAATTAATAGCTAAGGAAGTTAATAACTCAGTCACACAGCTTTTTAATTTAAGCTTTAGTCCTTTAACTTTTAATTATATGCTGTAGCAACCATACTATGCTTCCCTGTTAGGGAAAGCTTTTTAATGAAGAGCTTTATTCCAGGAAATATCTTGTTCCCCTCCTGCTGATTGCTAGAGCTCTGCTGGATGGATTTTTGTATCAGTGTGGTAAAAATAATGGGTTTTACTCTGAGACAAACTTTGGAAGGCACACTTGAAGTCTGATTGGCACAAGGAAGGGATGTGTGTATATGTGACATTAAATGACGACAGCAGTTGGTTAAATTGTATGAAGTACTCTCAGTCATTTACTAAAGACCTACCATGAAATAAGAAAATATGCTGGTAACAGCACCTGGATAATCTTTCCTCTTGCTCCCCCTCAAATCCAGGATTGGACATATTCAGCAGCATTTTAGTCTCTGTCTTCTGGAGAAGATAATCTATACCCATGGCTTTTTTTCTATGTGAGGAAGGATTCAGTTGTGGAAAAGGAAATCTTGACAGTAGGTCTGAGAGGGGCAAGTGTGCAATATTAAGCAGCTGTTTTAGCTCTTAGAATGCTTCAAAGAAGCCTTAAGATTATTCTAATGTTTTCCAGGTCAACACTGGCTCCAAGGAGCTGCTTCAGCAGCTGGAGATCTGTGGTTGTGGGCTGCTGCTGACATTTGCCTACGTGACTTCCACAGGGAGGGAGAACAATATGGAGTTGGTGTTTCTGACTTACGGTGCATGAATTCCCTACCCAAGGAGAATCTCCTGCTTGTCAGCCTGTGTGGCTTTATGTCTCCTTTGGGCTGCTGCAGAGGGGTACATTAGAGTCAAGATCTGTGCTGAAATAGAACAGGAAATGGCTGCTACTACTCGTGAGGGCGCTGCTAATCCTTTTTTTGTCTATTTTCATCCTTGCTTGAACTCAAGGAGTTTGCCAAGTCAGTTCCACATTTTGCACCCTCTATAAAGATATGTAGCTGAGAAACATTTCCAGGTTTCCTTCCAAGAAGTTTGCAGCATCTGTGAAATTGTATATGACTGCTTCGATATAATTTTCATCACAGTTCCTTGTAAAAGGTGGTCAGATGTGAGACCTCTGTTGATACAGATGTTTTTACTGAATAGTGATGGTGGGGCAAGACCTGGGTCAGAAAGGCAAAGTATAGTTTCCTTGATGCCCAGACCCAAACTTTTTCTCCAGGGCCAGATGCATTGGACACTAAATTGAAATTTGAATACTTTGGTGCCTGTTTTTCTCTCAGTAAGCGGACAGGACGCTTTCTGATCTCAGTGTCATTGCAGCTTATGTGATGCAAATTCTCACTCTCTGCTACCAGGCAATGTCTCTCAGGGGACCCATTTAATATTAAAGATTGGCCTCTGCTCTCAATAACCTCGGTATAAATGTAGAATAAATTTTATATTGTCAGCAACAATTATATGCATCATTCAGGGCACAAGTTATAGATACAGGACCTGCCTGAAAGCTGATTTAAAGCTGTGATGATTAGAATGCTTCTCTCATGGGCTGGTACAGGTAACTCCCATCTGCTTAATTTTTTGCATGGGCTCATTCTTTCCTTTGGATCTTTTCATTCTGTGTGCAAAATCAATCTTGTGTACAACTTGTGCTGTATAACCTGGCCATGCTCATTTCCTCTCATTGTCTTGTATTTGAGAACTCTGTCCATTAATAACTGCGACCTTCAGCAATTTATTTCTCCACCTGGCTACATTCATGTGGATGCCATATGTTGAGCACATGAATACTACTTCGGATGGCTCTTATTTTACCCATAGATCAGGATTAAAGTTGTCTAGCCTCTCTTTCAAACTCTACTTTTTGTCCAATTAATTTGAAAACAAACAGTTCTTTCTTAAATGAAGAATTACTACTAAAAATGAAAAACATAAAAGCTTAGAGCAAAACAAGACTGCAAAATAAAGTTCATGAAAAATGTAACAAGTAAAAACTAATTTGAAACTCTGTTTCAGATTTGTAGATTCTATGATTACCCTCCTGGTTTTTATATCAGCCAAGGTTACTACCAAACTGTAGGAGCTCACTGAATAAACCACTGAACACTTGTGAATTCTCCTACTATATCACAATTACAGAAGTAGAGGCACTAGGTAAGTTTATGCCTGTCCTCTGGGAACATTTAAAAAAAGTTTAATAGCCCTTAAAATGCCTAATTTCTAACCTGTTACAGGTTTACCTCATGGCTGCTCATTTTGCTGTGTTATAAAAGCAGATAGAAAATTAGATTTCTGGCTCAAGATCCCACTAAAACCATCATTCCTGTTTAAGTCAGCAATAGCCACATAACATTTAAGCCTGGATAGTAATTTCTACATCTACTCCAGCAACAGAGCAATACATTGCATGGCTTGAAATGCTTCAGGTCTAATTAGAAGAGCTTACAAAATTCTGTGTAAAGATTATCTGAAAAGATCACTGGAAATAAGAAATGAGTCCAATTTCCCATTCTAGGTATCTCAGAAATGAGAAAGGAATATTTAAAATATGGATTCTGTTGATAAGATCATTAAATAGCTGCAATGATTACACAGGCTTTGAAGCCCAATGAGGAACTTCTGCTATGATTCACAGGAAATGGGGGTTTTTAACTGTCTGATACACTTCCAGTCTACTAGCTCCAAGTATCTGGATCCTGTCCAAATGCACCTGAGCACAGCACCTGTTGTGGGAAAGAGCTTAACAATGTACATAACTTTCAGTACATTAATTATCCCCCCTTTCTAGAGAGCATTACTGAATTGAGCAATGTGCCCTTGAAATGAAGGACATTCATTTAAGTCTTGCTGGATCAGAACAAAAGTACCCAGTATATTATGGGATTTCATTTGTGAAATAAGGACTCATTTATAGTTTCTTTACATACATGACTGAAAATACAAACTCTTATTAGTTGATTCAGTAGTCAGTGGAGAAATTTGGAAGCTAGCCTATAAAATCACTCCTGTTGGGATGTTAAACAGCTACTAAAAAATGAATTGATTAAGGGTTCAGTATAGTTCCAGAGAAAGGTGGTTAATGATTTTAATATCTGCCTTCTCAATAGGTGGACAAATCAAAAGAAAGGCCAGCTGTTGGAAAACTGCATTAGAAAACGCATTTTTACTTTAAAAAATTAAATACATTGTCAAATATATCAGCAAATTAAGCTGACAAATGGGCTTTATTTCTCTGATTATTTTCCCCGCTTTGTTCTGTACCTCTTGGGTGGCTCCCGTCCAACTGAAGCAAAAGGCAGGAGCAGAAGAACAGGGAGGCTGGGAAAAGGCAGAGATCATTTTAGGATGAACGGAGTGCCACTCCATATGAGCCTTAGTTTGAGGCATAAACTGAATGTACTGTAACAGAACGGTTGGTTTTGGTTTCATATTTTTGGTGGGGTAGAAGAATTTCAGGTCAATTGTCTCTCAGCAAAGCCTCTATTACTCCTCCAGGAATCCAGTAGTAGATGGCCTTTATTCTTTTTCAAAAGAATAAGCCAATGGAGCTTTCCACTGTTTCTTCTAGAGTGGACAAGCCACCCTTTAAACCATGTCAGAAGCTGAGTTCCCATGACTGTAGCTGTGGTTGATGGCATGGTCATCTGATCAGCAGGTCTGTTTAAAAACAGGTCATTAAGTGTTATACAAAGTGTCTACAAAGAGACATGATCTAGTACAAATCTCTGCTTACCTGGGATGCTAGGGCCTACCTTTAGTTCAGGAATCTGCCCTTCTGCATTTAAGTGGGAGATTCAATCTGATGAAAACAAAAAGCTAACACACCCTTTGCACTGCTGGCTGAGTACACCTGCAGAGGATAAAAATGGGAGGAAAAATTTCATGAAGTCACTTAAATACCATCCTCTTACATAATTTCATAAATTCTTACTGCATTTCTCTGAGACTGTAAGTTAAAGACATATTTTTGGTCTTATATCCTGTTCCTAATGATGTTCTGGTTGAATGGGTTACCTATAAAAGTCCTTCCAACCAAAACTATTCTATGATATCCTGGAGTGACTTCTGCGTAAAAAATAGCCTTTAACCTTAATTGAACAGAATCATAATTAACTAAGTGTTAAGATTCAGCCACATTTAGACCAAATAGGAATCAAAACTGGACAAGATGGAGGAAGTAGTTCTGAAGAGATATTAGAGTTCTTTGAACATGTTTCTTGGCTATTTTAAGTTCTTACTTTTCCAGGATAGGGTCTGGGGAGCCAATAGTGTTCTTGTTGATTTTTCAAATCAACAAGGTTTCCCCACCCAAAACTGCTCCTTCCTGCAAACTGGTTGCATACTGTTTGTGGGAAGGGCCAGTTTTGGATGGGAAGCCCCTCCCACTCAAATTCTGTGTTGGTGTGTCTCTGCCAGATTTAGTATGGCTTCTGGTGAAAAATCTCTGCCTTGTCTCACATTTTCTCTTCCTTTGCTATCCTTTGAAATCTGATATCTGTGTGGTTTAAGATTTTGCTTAACCTGTGTTTTTTTCTAGTCCGTTAGTTATTGCACCCAAAACACAGCTAGCAAAGGGGAATGCTTTTCACTTACACCTATTTCATTGCTTATTTGAGAATGAATGGGTTTATGGCCAATGCAAGTATCCTTCTTGAGGAAAAAGGTCTAAGTTTTGTTCAGTGCTGCTGTTAAAAGTGTCCATCCAGGATATAATCAGCTCTCACTGTCTATGAGTAGAGGCACTCCTATAAGTAAGAGTATTGGTGCAAAAAAGTTGAGAAATGATTTCTTGCTTCTGATATGTAAAAGAAAACTAAAGCAATTTACTCCCAGAGTGATCCATAATACCAAAGGCTTTTCTGGCCATAAGTCAGGCTGAAAAAGAAGGTGGTAGTTTTGGGTAAAGAATGCTACAGGATCATTGCAAGAAATAATAATATAAGACTGAACCCCCCCTTAATTGTGAGGTTTTAAAAAATATCAAATTCTTCTCACAGCATCTTCCAAGCTACTCATAAACAGCTTCTCAGGCATTATCTGCTTAAAGTATTGCTGATACACCAGAAGATTCAGTACATGTAACGTCACAGAAGATTATGTAAAATAAATCTTTGTAGAATTGCTGTAATCAGATGATATATTGACTATCTCAAATTGAATAATTTGTAACAAACTTTTTTGTCTGTTTGCTTATTTATTTTTTAGAGCCAAAGTAAATCCATTCATGCTATAGTGTTTTATTTTCTGGTAACAAGCATATTTTTTAGCAGGATTAAAGTCTCAATCTTACCTGTTTCATTTATACCAAGACTTTATCAGGTTACTTTAGGTACTCGTAGCAGTATTGATAATTCAGCTGGTTCAGAAAGGAGGGCTGAAAAAGCTTCATACAAAGGAAAATAATATCCTTTTTGAACTCTTAAACATCCACAGATTTCAAAACACCAGCTACGTCCAGCTACTGATAATTGAGTTGGGAATGCAAAAGGGGGAAGGGGAGGGAAATATTATATTTTTAAGAGTAATGCATAGAGGTATGGAACTATAAGGGTCCACCTGGGCTGAGGCAAATCTGTTTTTCGAGCGCTCAGGTCACATAACCATGTCAGGAAAAGGATCACATTTCACCCTAAAACTAGAAGCAGTTTTTGTTCCTTTTTGAATTTGTTTTACTACTTATCTTCTCTTCTGATCTCTGTCTTAAGCTGTGATAATGACAAATTGATGATCTTCAGTGAATGTATTGTCGTTTAGATCTTCACCTTTTCTAGAAGGTGTTTATTCTCTGTTATACTTGTGGACAACATTCATAGCTCCTGAAATCTTTGTTTTACTTCTGCTTGCATCCTTTTGGAAGATGAAGCTGTTAATTTCATTAATTATCCTCATTACCTGCTTGTGATTCAAATTTTTTTTCTGTTTAACTAAGACTGCCTGGAAGTGTACTGCAGTTGGTACCTCTGTGATACCTATGAGCTCTGTAATGGCACTTATACTTTCCTGTTTCTACCAGAAACATTCTTTACCTGATAACAACAAGGGGTATATTTACCCTTTCCATCATGGCCCAGAATGATGGAAACCCTCCATCCATGAATAACCCTCAGGCCTTTTTCCCTGTCTGTCATCACTGACTAATGAATTCTCAGCTCAGAGAAAAGCTTCTTGTTTCTAGTCTGTAAGTGCAAGCTGGTGCCACTTTTGTACTAGGCAATTTTATTCCATTTCCATTACTCCTGTTCTTGAATGTCTCAGGTACTTCCCACGCAATATGCTAATGCTCATCTTTACCAATGACATCCCTGAGCAAGTGTTGTAGCTCAGTCCTGTTTTTAACTGAAGTTGTTATATGAAGATATGAGATGTGAATGGTTCACACTGATTTTTCAGCTACAGCCATGTTCAGCTCCATTTTGCTCAAGAACTTCCATGTAAAGTGTGTACCACTATATTTCTTCCACTAATCTCTGTCTTTTCCTGCTTAATAAATATTTTCCCACCTGACATTTCATCAAATGCTTTTCTCATGTCAAGTTTGATGAAGGACCTGCATTTATTTCACCTGCAAAGTCACCTATAAAAGAAAACTGGTAATTTTATTTTATGTTGTCTTCCAAACCACACTCCTGATCATTAACTCTTCTATGGGCTCTTTTTCCTTTGTCTGCTGCTTCTACTGGCCATATAGATAGACCTAAATGTCTCCTGGCAGTACAACTCATCCACTCATTCAAAAAAAACCCTTGCTAATTTTTAAAACACAGTGATGTCTCTTTATCCCTTTAAAAATCTGATTTCTTTCTTTTTATAATCTGATGAAGGTTTGCCATTAAATCCAGGTTGCAGGAAGGCTGGAAGTCATGATCCTTTACAACAGTAATGTGCTAGGAAATAAAAGTCAAGTTCTCTCATTTTTCAAAGTTTGAGGCTTATTTAGGCTACCACATGAAGTATTTATTGTTTTCTACCATTGCCGCATGGATATTTTTCTGCACCAGTGCCTCAGACAGCTAGAAGGACATTAGCTAATTATCTAGCTAAAAGACAACCGGTTGCAAAATAGATTGATTTTTTCCTTTGTTTTGGTTTTGTCTTCTGATAAGTTTTAAAATGAAGCATGGAGGCAGAAGAGTAAGTTTGAAATAGCATCTGCCCAGGCTGTGCTTGGTTTTATCTAGGGCTCTACACACCAGCCCTCCTGAGCTCCTAAATTCATTCTTTATTGCAAAAGAATGAATGTTAACACTACCTTTCATTTCAGTCTTGACATTTCAAATTTACCTCTCTGAATCACTAACTGAACTCAACAAAAGGTTTTTATCTGCTGATAACTTTCCATCTGGGAGATTTAAAGTTCCAGGTGACATTAGCTCTAGCTCAATGATGTTATTAAATTCTCACCTTAAATCTTGCATACAGAAAGCTCTTGTCAGGTCACATGAATGAGATGATTGCATTAGTCATACTACAAGAGTGATACTCATTCCACTAAGTTCACTGTATTCAGTCTGAAGTTTGATCTATGAGAGGACACTTCATATCTAACATGATGTGGTTTCTTTACACTGTGGTGTTTTTATTAGTTATATACTTGTCAATGCAATTTATACATTCTTTGCTCTGTGGTATGCACTCCTCAGTACACTTGCTGCTTTTGTTAAGATGTGATCTGCTACAGTAAAAAGAAAGACCCCATGATTAGTTTATTCAAGATATTTCTTCTGTTCATAGTTCAACTTGAAACTAACTTTTGAAGTACCTTGTCCCTGAACTGGCCTCTGAATTGCAAAAACTAAATTAGCATGAATGACATTTTGCATGTGGGAATTTATGCAAGGATCTACTTGTGAAAAGTTTAAACACACCAGCTGAAACATTGATGAATTATGAATGATTATAATTAAATGGTTTTATTTCTCCATTGTTTTTGTTTCTTTTCCTATTTTTTCTGGTTTCTCTTAACCCAGTAATATCCAGATGGTTTGGGATAGCAAGATTTCTCTGTGTGTACATTGTTCTTGAAGCAAACCAGTGCCGTTGACTAGATTTGGGGATTAAAATGAATTTATCTATGGATTAAGAACTCCATATGCCAGTTTTAGTGGGTGTTATGAAATAGGAATCGGCCAGCTACAGAATTCCTAATGTACTTATGTTCTTTTATAGCCTAAATCATCTTAGTATCAGAGCTCTTCAGCAATTTGAATGCTCCTACAGCACCCATGTGAGTTAAAAGGGTTATCTCCTGATTCTCCTAACGGGATAACTGAAAGTGCAGGAAGATTAAACAGCTAAGTCAAACCCAGTAAGAAATCTGCAGCAGTCTTAAAGCTAAAAGACAGTTCTCTGGGTTCCAGGTAATTGCATTGAACAGAAAGCTTTTTTCCCCTCCTTGCATAACAACCTTACTGAAACCAGCAGTGCACTCCCCCAGGTGTTCTGTGCAGGAGAGCTCCTTAGGCAGGGCAGAGCAGGGAGGCAGATGCCTGTTCTCCCTCTTTGCAGACCTGTAAACCTGTTGCTAGCTTCCTTTGTGGAAAATCACAAGATGCTTTGCAGACTTGGATTGTGCCTTCCAGCCCTTCTGGTAATTACAGGAGGTTTGTAAGTACCAATGTTTTATAGCTGGTGAAAAGGGAAAATGTTGTGCTTGGTCATTTTATCACCATAAAATGAAGTGGCATATGAGCCAGGCATAGAGTTTTGCCTTCCATGAGATTGTCCTATGTCTCATCTGTCAGACCCAGCATCAACTCTGGAGGAGACCCCACCTCACTGGTCATGCCAAAGTGTTGTGGTTTGACACGGAAAAGAATTTTCTTGGAAGGAAGAGGGTCAAACCAACAGCAGCAAGGATGAGCAGTGCAGCAGGAATCATGGAGTTAATTAAGATTTGCAGATGGTTTAAGAGTAGTTTCTTAAACAACATTGTGGTATTTGTGTTGCATATAAGTTGTGGTGATTGTGTTGCTTTGTCTATGTGCCTAAACTCAGTTGCTCCAACCTCCTGTTAGCATGTGGCCCACATCAGCTTGCAATACAACCTTTTTTCCATGACTCAGAAGCATGAAAATTGTATACCTACATATACCTGTGTCACATTTGTGAAGCGAAAATATAGTTGGAATTCTGTGCTGAACAAGAGCAGATATGTTTGTTTTAGTGTATTTTTTTTTTTTTTTAATGTTACAAATTCCAAAAAAACCCACAAGGAAATTTCTGGGCGTCCTAGGCCACCACCAGATGTGGCTTTCAGGTGCTGGGGCTAAATGCTTGCTTCAGCAAGGTGTATTTTGTGTTCAGCCTTTCTTATCACCTTAACTTTCCTCTTATTGTTTAAATATTCTCCCCTTGCTCTTCCAGATTCCCATTTCTTTCCAGGATATTGTAATAACAATAATAATAATAATATAAAATAATTTTGATGCATACTACTGGCTTATTCAGTATATTTCCCATCAGCCCTGGGACTGTTTTTCCTGAGTTTCAATCCTCAGCTGGAGTACTTCTCCATGTCCCACAAGTTTGGGTTTCACTCTCTCCTCACAGCCCAAGCTCTATTTTCTGCTTTAATCTGCTTCAGGACAGAGCAGTGAAAGACATAATTTTCGTACAATTTTCCATCTGTGTTACCACAAAAAGTGGAAATTTAGCCTGTCTTTTCTTGGTTTCTTGCCAGTTGTGGCTGAAAGGGGCTGTCTCAGTCTTTTCTGTGGACCCACATTGCTGATAAGGAGCTTCCCTTTCTTATAGTGCAGTGCTGAGATCAAAGGGTGATTTGGATCATATTATGGGCTGGTTCCTGCAACACCCTCCACATTCCATGACCCCAGGACAATGCCTTTACACTGTGCTCCAACAAGAGCAGTGAAGCTGAGTGCTCTGAAATACCCTGTGCAAGCAGGGTTACAGGCAGGTTACTGCCTTCAGAGCAGTAGTGCAATGGTGCCTGGCCCCACAGGATGCCATTTCTCCTTCAGCCTAGTTTGCTATGTGGACTGTGAGCCGAATGGATGAGGTTTAACCTTTGTAGATGAGCAACCTCATCCTTGGGATAGACCCAAACCTCTGCCCTGTGGTGGTGTATGAAGTGAGATAAGCAATGGTGTGATGTGTCACCGGTTTCCTGTGTGTAAACTTTGTGCTTTGAGGCTTTTTGGCCTTCCTGGTTGCTGACAGGAACACTCTCTAAATCTTTTCCAGCTGAATGTGCTGGTATTTATTTACAGCTCTGCCTTGACTGAGTTTTCTATTATTCTTTCACAGGAAAACGCTTTGCTCACAAAAGCAAGGAACTAATAGCAGACTGGAGCTAAACCTAGTAAAAGCAGGTGTTATGCAATTTGTCACCACATGACTCTGCTAATGCATCTTTAGTCCAGGACTGCAGTACCCCTGCCATGTTTTAAAGTGCAGAAAGATAAGCGTACGCTGTACCCTGGAGTGCCTTAGTCTATAAATGTAATTCAGAAATATGAGAAACAGTGCTCTGAATCTGATGGCCTTTTTCAACACAATTACAGGAGCAGCGTGAGGTGTTGAACATTTGCAGCAAGGGTGCACACAGCAAACGGGAAGTTGGATGTGCAGGCTGTTAATTCAAGCCTAGATAAGCTTCTGACTAAGAGGGTTTTAATTTGTTTTTTACCCTAATATGATACTTGTATGGTAGCAGTTTTACTGAAAAGAACCTATTACAACCTATGCTCATCTGTAGAGCCACATTTAATGAGGAGGATACCTCACAGCTTTTAATGGGGCTCTACAGACTTCAAGGATATGAATCTAAAAAAGCCTTGAATATCAAAATGTTTTTATTTGGCTGCAGATGAAGACACTTTAATGTGGAAAAAAATGTGTGCTCTTTGAAATGAAATGAAAAGGGCAACAGATGAAAAAGAGTATTTTCTCTCTAAATAGAGAGAGATGAGACAGACAAGGCATTTGATCCCTTAGAGCCTTGTTTGTGTCTGTCTTTGTGCTTTCAGGATCACTTTCAAGGAATGCACCAGGAATATCACTCCAATGCTCAGTGTTCTCAAACTCCTGCTGAATGAATGGGGATGGAAGACTTTCAGTACCATAGAAGAGAAGTTTAATTCCAGGGGTCAGGTAGGAAAGCATATGCCTAGCCTGCAACCTCCAGAGGCACACCCTCAGTCTTAAATCACATTGGCAAAACAAACCAGGCAAGGTTGTGCTGGCCACTAGAAATTTTTCAAAAGGCTGAACAGTGACAAATCATTCCTCTAGTTATCCATTAAGACCTCAATGTATAATCAGAACCTGCATTAAAGCCTGGAAATCAATAATCCCTGGCTCATGAATAGTTAAGGACTAGACAGAGGATGGGCAAAGCAAGGATCAGCAGATGCACTCTTACTGGGAAGGCAGTCTCCAACATTTCATGTGTATAGAATCAGAGGAAGATTTTTTCTGATTTCACCCAGCAACAGGTGGTTAGCTTGTGCATGTGACAAGCTGAGTTTCCTGGTGTATTTGGCTTTCTGTTTCTTAAAGGTATAGAAGCAGATTGTGTGAACAGATAGATGGAGAATTCTGTTTTTCATACATGGTTCCCTTTGATCTTACCTGTTGGAAGTATATGATGTCTAAACAATTTTCCTGGCAATGAGTTATGACACCGTTTTAGGAGAAGGTTTTGGGGTAGGCTAGAGTCCTTTGATGTATGCATGTGTGCAAATAAGTGTTCATACAGTTGGATGGCAGCTCTTTAAACTAGTATCATCAGAGAAACACAGTGATCTTGCGTATTGTTTATATATGAATGGTTATCTTAGTATTAATATTTTGAGAATTTTTGCTCCCCTCCCATTTTGTATTCAGCAGGGAGTGTGAGAAATAAGATATTTTCTTTGCATTCTGATGGGGAAAACTTCTTGGGACTGGTTACCTTTCAAGTAATTATCAGTAGTAGATGCTGGACCTGATGTTTTTTGGCTTTGCTGCCTTTTTCCCAGTTGTACAGGTTGTGTACCTCCCAGCACTATGTGTGCTTGACCAGGCACTTTTTTCTACTAAGAGAAGAGATTGTGTACCCTGGGGGAAATCTCATCATCAGCCCCAAGGACTGCAGTTTCCTCAGCTGTAAGGAATGTGGTCCATCCAGGCACTGCTAGCAAGCATGACAGGCTGTCTTCCTTTTTCTCTCATGCACTTATGTTGCTGAACCTCCATCAGGAACACTTATTCCTGCAGTCTCTTGCACAAAGTGGTAACAACCATGCACTAAGGCAAGCAGAAACACCATGTAGTCCTCATCATGACCAAGCCCAAGGTCTAGCTCCTCTTCAGAAACACTGAACTCAAAAGGACTGTGTCTGTCTGGAATTTTGTTAATATTTTGGCCCAGGTTTGGATGATGCTTTAAAGGGATTTCTTCAAGAGAAGCTGAACCTGCCAAACTTTGCCCTTCCTCAGTCTTGTGGGACATTCTTAGGGGCCATGCAGACATAGGGGTTCACACAGTTATTAGTCCTGGCTGTGGCTCCTTCTACACAGCATAAGGCTTGAGCCTGTGCTGGTGGTACAGATGCAAAGGAGAAAGACATACCTGTTGCTGGAAAAGGGAGCTCCTGCCTCTGAGGATATCCTCTGTACATTTCTGCTTCAATCAATCCTTCAGATATTGCCCTAAAGATTACTCACCTTCTTTTGCTATGCCAGGTAATCCCAGTGTTTAACAATGAAGGATGCTGTTCCTGGCTGTTACTAATTAATATATTTTAACCTGTCAATAATTAATGTGGAAATTGGGAAGAATAATGCTGTGGAGGCTACAGCCTGAGATCTGCTGCCTGGCAACTGTGGATGTGCATATCCGTTATATCAGGAAATTAGAAACTGGAGCAAAAACTGATCTGTGTGACATTTTGTAAGATGATATAAATGGGCCTACTCAACAAACACTAGATTTATGTGAGGGTATGAGTGATATGTATCTGGGGAAAAGATATTATCTCTCTCATGAAGGTGCAGTTAATACCAGGCATCAATTAAATATAGTTCATTAAAGCCTCTGGGTAATCTTATTTTTGGATGAGATCAGAGGAGCAACTTACAAGGACTGACAGAGGGGTTATCTTGGTAATAATCTTCACTTTTGCATCTAGCTTCTCTCAAAGGATGAGCTTAGTGAAGTAGCATCTAGACTGTAACAACAATAACCTTTTCATATGGAGAGTGTGCAGTGAAATGTAATAGTGGCTTACAATGTTTGAAGTAGTTGCATTAGATAGGTTTATTGAGATATGCCAGTAGTGCTGACATGAAAATGGTTGGTTTATGCACTCCCTATCCTCAGAGGGAAGATTTGCATCTGCCATGTTCATGGGATGTGGCTTTGTCTAAAAGATTTCATTTGTACAGATGGAGCGAGTGGAGGCAGGCAAAATTATGGTACTGTTAAGAGTGTGATGTTTTATTGCTTCTTGCTATTGTGTTTAAAATATTCCTTTATATATTGAGTATTTTAATGGAATCAGTTTGGGTGTTGTTTTCTTCAACTGGACCTGTTGTCTCCTCATTTTGAATCCACATGTAATGCACTGGTTGCAGGAAATAAAGTAAGTGTTCAGTAAGTGCAGTGCCAATGGCAATTGAGATCCAATATCTTATTTCTAGTTATGATGCAGTTGTCAGGCAAAGAGACAGAAGAAACAAATTTCTTCAACACACCTGGAAGAAACAGGGTAAAGCTTGGCATGGAGCCTAAATTTGCAGAGTAACTTCTGAGAATGTCTCACTTTCCTGGGTTCTGCTGCCAAAACAGGCTTCACACTTCATTTTGACATAAAATTAACCACTTCTGGAACTGATTCCTCTTTTCTGTTTTTTGGTCTTTCTTGCGAAACCTTCTGTGGCTCCTTGTTTAACTTGTGTCACAGCTGCTCCTGAGGAATGAAGCATGCAGGCTGGCTGCAGCACAGGCTTGAGGCTGCAGGAGGCAGGGAGGAGACTGAGCACTACCGGAGACACAGGGGGAAAAAAAAGCCCACAGGGTCTGATGGAGAGTGTCAGGACAGAGAGAGAAATGAAGATGGGCTGTATGCCCGTGTCAGAGCTGGGCTCTCTGGGATCATCCTTTCACCAGGGAGAGACAGCTAAAAATGAGAGAATAGAGAAACACTGCTCAGAAGACTGTTAAGACTGTTAAGATTTTAAGTCTCTAGATGGTAAGACAAACAGTGTGCTGCCTTTCAGAAAGCAGCTTGCTGAAACTACAGCTCTTTAAGTGGAATGATTTTTCATTGCCACTTTTTACATCTTTCTTTGAGACAAAAGCTTCACCGGCACTTAGCATTACCAGCACTGGCACTTTAACTTGCAGATCCTATTTGCAGGGGAGTAAAACCATCTCCATGCTCCTCAGGTCCCCCATTCCCTCGAAGAGAGAGGTCATTGGAGGGATTCATACCAAAAGCTGCCATCCACAAAGCCCCACAAACTCCTGCAGAGGACCAACGCTGCCAGGCACTTCTCGTTAAATGCTGTGGCATTGCCATCCACCATCCACCATTGCCATCCTCCCGACTTCACCACCTCCTTCCTTTCCCCTTCTTCCTGCAGCATGGAGCTTGAGCCTTGCTTGCTCTGGGTATAATACATCTACAGCTTTCCAGAGCTCAACCTAAAGTAGGCTAGGCTTATGGCAGTGTATTTCAGCTAATCCTTGTTCATATCTGGGGTTTTCTGTTTCAGAGACAAGTCATATCAAATACCATATAATGAGAGAAAACTGGAAATGCTGACTTACTGAAAGGATTATTTGCCATGGGCTGTTCATACCATCATGCATAGTTTTGGAGTTCTCTGCTTCAACTCTCCCCAAAGCTTTTGGGATCCTCAGAAATATTTTTCTAGTTATTATTCTGCTTTGTGGATTTGGGTCTTTTCCACTACCTGCGTTAATTGGGCAAACAATAATACACCAGAACAAGAGGAAAGAGATAATTTGTGGAATTTCTTAAACTTGAGTAGGATATTCAGAATAGCATAAAAGCAAATCTGATTATACAACATGAGGCAAAGCAGAGTCCTTTCCCAAAAAACCCAGCTTGAAACATCCCTATTAACAAAGTTCCTACACTCTCCTTAAAGTGCTGGCAGTAATAATGCTTGCTTCAAAAGCGGTCCATTTTACTGTATTACCTGCCTTGCTGCACTATAACCAGCACAGTTCTTTGTTGGGCCATGCTGTGCCTCAGTCCATAGCAGCTGGCATCTCCTATGAAAGAGAAGAGAGAAACATATTTCATGGTGCCAGACTTTGGCCAATGCCCTGTTTGCCCTCATTTTCAGGGCAGCTCTTATGCAAATTTCTGCTGTGGGGCTTTGAAGCAGCAGTCCTGGAAAAAAAAAGGGTCTGTGGAACTGCTCCACCCTTTCAGAGCACAAGGATACTTGCAGCTTCCAGATATGGAAGGATTTTAATTAATTAATCTCTCCCCCCTAACTCAACACTCCCCCTCCCTGCTTTCCACCTGGCAGCTTTTCTGCTGTGCTGCTACCCGATGTTGTTTTTCAGGTTTATTTGCTCCTGTCTACATATGAGAACCTGATGTTTTCCTTGCCAAAGTGCTGTCCCTCACAGTAAAGCAGACTAAGCAGCTTTGCTGAGCCGGGTGAGGCAGAAGGACTCTGTATCTCTTCCTGACACCTCTACTTCAAGCTTAGCCTTGGCTGCTGCTGCTACTTGGCACCACCTGAGGTCCCACTGAAACCTGAGTTCTTCTACCCTGCAATGTACAATTAAATAAAGGCAGCGTTATTCCCCAGAGCATGCATGGTGCAGAAGGAGGAAAGACAGGAGATGCAGAAGACAGGAAAAGGGTAGATGGTGAGCTACTATCTATGCTCTTAATGAGATGAATTAAGAAAGGCACATTTAATAGCAAATCTCACTACAGCTTTCTGAAACATCTTTGCTGTGAGAGACTTCTAAGGTTGATGTTCTCATTAGACAGTGTGCTACTGAAGGGTAGCTAATTAGCAAAGCCACAGTATTATGCCTGTTATGGTAGGTTCAATCACATATTGCAAAAATATGGGAGATATGAGCGTCTCCCAGTCTGTTTTGAAAATGCTTCCTTTTCTTCAGGCTGGCTAAATACATAATTTCAGGGTTTATTCCAGTTCATATCAATATCTCGAATTCTCGCAAAAGATATATGAAATAATTCCAGCACAATTTCTGTAAACATTTAATCTCCCATGGCTTTTGTGTATATGTGTTGCCTTTTTTCCCACTGCTTGCATTCACTGGACATCTATTAATGCTCTGTAATCAAAGGAAAAAAATAATCATTTGAAGTCTTGGCACTGGAGGCAGAAGCTTAGAATGACGTAAAATTATCTTGGTGATTTGTTTTAATGATTAAATTTTTTCCAGATTAGTTTTTCAGTTTATGTGTTTGAACCAATATAAAAACCAAACAACAACAAATGAACCAAGCAAACACACATAATAAACAACCCCCCTCGAGGCCCCTGCATCTAAACTCCCATAAAATAGATGAGTATGAAAATATGGTACATTCATTAGAAGACCCACAGACCTTTATGCCTCTATCAAAACTTTGTGGTATGTTGAGCATGGTGAGTTCATCTCCTTACACTTCCTTTTCAGATTTCTTCTTAATATATAATGCTTTTTTCAACCACAGTTCACCAAGATTGTCTCCTCTGTAATATCAGAATCCAGATGATGACTTCCAGCACATGGTCTGCAAAACTCTTTACTGTTTTCTTATATTTTTCGTCTAGTCCCAGTGCATATCTTAGGGGTCTCAATGAGCCTTGGGATAAAAAGTGGGAGCATATGACAGCAAAAACCATTGCTATGGAAGGCATAAGCCAGAAAAGACTTCACAAGAAGTATCTGTATGCTTTTTACGGAGTGGGTAATTGAGATACAGCAAAATGCTTCAACGTTTGTCACTCAGAAGGAAAATAGCAGAGCCAGGATGAAGACCCATGTATTCTGAGCACTGATTTAACCTACATCCCACTGTACAACTCTGTCTTTGAGGCCCTGTCATCTAGACAATGCTGGTTTTTCTCTTAGTAAGCAGCAGACCCCTACAGAGATCTGGGAGAACAATCCTACTTGAAGGCAGTGAGGATGACTTAGGTCTTATTTTCTTCCCACAGCGGTAAAGACAGGAAAGAAGATGAATCCCCCCATTCAAAATAGAGTTAATAGGTGGAAGTGTAAAAAGATCCTGACTCATGCAAAGAGTAAAAGATACATGGGGCTGAGAGGGGACAATGAATTACATGTTGGTGTTAAGTAGTGCTTGAATTATATGTTGGTGTTAAGTATCTTGCTTGTAGTAGTATAATTTTGAGGACCAAGAAATTCCTGTCCTGGATAAGTATGCTGATTCACTGAGAAAATGTGCAGTGTTAAATCACTGTGTCATACTTCTTACCCACACTGGGGTTAGACCAGAGGTTACAAACGGGGTTGTCAAAACAGCACACATGGGATTTCACCACTGTGAAATCTAGCTTTTTTAAACACCCATTCAAAATCTGTCTTCACTTAAAGAAGCTAGAGGGTGGGAAGGTGTGCCAGGGGAAGGATCACCCTGCTGCCTGTGTGTTTTACAGCTCTATTTCCCCCATCATCTTCTTCTGTCAGCTGTCTGAAAGCGGGCTACTGATGAGGTGAATGTCTGGAGTGAACCTAAGGAGCCATCCATATTTTTTATGCAATATTTCAAGAACCCAAAGAAATAAGCAGTGAGCATCCACAGCACTAGAGCTTGTAAAAGTGACACTGTTGTGTTTAACTTATCCTCTACAGAATCCTTCAGCATTACTGTAAAAGTAATAGTGGATTTACCCACAATGTGCAGTTAATAATTTCCTTTGATACCTTTTGGGTTCGAGTGAAGGAGAGGGATTTTCACTACTATCAAAACCCACGCGGCTCTCGTGACTCTCAGTGGCATTTTGTTCTTAAGGAGAAATAGTATGATTGAAGAAAATGACACTGTTGTGATGTCTTCAACTTTTTCCTTTTTTTTTTTTTTTAAGACTGCTTGGTATCAAAATGTAAATGAAAACTATTAGCAGAACATAGAGTTTGGAACTTGCCTGATGATGTGTTGAACTTGGACCTCAGATTTCAGTAGCTTTTTTGGTTTTTTTTTTTTTTTTTTTTTTTTTTTCCCGCAGAAACATTACTATGAATTAGGTCACACATACATATTATATATTTAGATGCATTTTTTCTTGAGGGCTAACCTATATATAATGAGAAATGATTGAAGGCTACTTACTTATTTTGGAAGAATTGGGTTAAGTACAACTGATCTGATACAAGGCATTTGCCCTCCAACATATTAACTAGAATATTGGCAACCTGAGCAGAAATAGCCATTTAAAAAGCGCTGAAGGGTTTATCAATAATCTCACTGAATTTCTAAAATCTTAATTTTCCCAAAGTCAGCATTGAGAAAGATACTTCCACTCTTCTGTCTTACTGTTAATGTGAGCAAAGGTTTAAGGATTTGATAAGCACCAAGACTGTCCTCTCTCAAGTCAAGACTGGTGCATATTACTGAAATTATATGATATGGTTTGCAATGTCCTCTCTGCTTAAGCTTGGTTTGGCAACTTGCAGTGGTGCTGGGTTGCTGCAGAATATCAAGTAAAATGTGCTGTATATGACATTTCTGACCTCTTATTGTCTCTTTTGTAAATATTTCATGGAATTTTGTTACTAGTCATGCAGACTCAAGTAGTAGTTGTTTAGGTAAATAAAAAAACTATATTCCAATTTATTCTTCAGGTCTTGTTCCTCATTGCAGTCAAATGCATATTAATAGCAGGAATATTATCTGTTTGGCAGATTATATCACAGATGAAATCTTCACACGCAGTACAAAACAACTATTTGTGCTGAGATGGATGGATGATTATTACCTCTTTGTTTTCTTTTTCATTATCCTTTTGAATGAAAATCTCCTTGTAAAGCCATTATCCTTGCTTTAACAGCTCTCTATATGGAATATGCCTCTGCCTCTTCAACTCCTTTTTTTTCTTTGCTTCGATTGAGCTTTAATTTTCTGTGATTTCTGAACTCTAATATCCTTGTTTCATATTTTTACAATGTCCTGTTCAAAAATTCAGTATGCCCATACCCAATTTTGTTTATCAAATGCATGTAGGCCAAAAAGTAGCAGGAACCTTCTCTAAAAACTATATTTACAGCTCTAGTGGCAAGCACTCTCCTCCTACACTGGAAAGCTGTGAAAAACTGTCAAGATGTGAATGTGCATTACAATGCTCCTGATGACTAGAGCTGGTTTATTTTTTAACCATGGCTTCATTTTGTCAGTTACACCAAATAGAACAGGAAAGAAGCTCTTCCAATAAAACCCAGCAAAACAGACTACACAACTACTTAGAAATGCAGCATCTCACACTACTCCACCCTCTTCTGTAGTGCTGCATAGACTGAGCACAGGTACAACCACACCTAGAAAGACCAGTTATGACTAGGTCTAATTCCCTTTTCCCAGTTCCAAAGTAATCAATGTCTCCCTGAGTGTGACAGGACTTGGTGACTTCCAGAATTTTTCTACTACCCACAAGACTCACTTGAGGACAAGAGTAGAAGAGGATTTCAAAATTGCCACCTGCACGGGAAGGAAAGAATGACTGTGGTTGTCATTGGTGTCATAGCTCCCTCCAATGACATTAGGTGTGTTCCTTAAAAGAGGACAGTATCTCATAATACAGAGGAAAGCAAATACCTCTCTACCCCCTGTTGGTCTCTTTCCAATGGGAACAGGAAAGGAATATCCCTTCCTGTCCTTAATTTAATGGTTGATTTCACCCTAATCATCTGATGCATAGGTTTCATCCTGTACATCAGCCTTTCACAATGTGAGGATAGAAATGGGGCTAACTTCCCATAACTCCCTCATTATGAGCTGAATTCTGACACTCCTCATGCTGGACACTGTTTTACCAAGGACTGATTTGAAATGTGAAGTCAATGCAACCCTTAGCTGCAATACAGCATATTTGTAGTCAGCTCTAATTGAATAGCCTGGTTCGAGTCAATGGGAGTTCTTGTGAAATGGTGTCATTAATGGGAGTAAAAATATTGCAATGTGGCTTTGTGTCATCAGGATGAATAACAAAATTATTTAAATTCTGTATATGTACCTGCACTGTAGCATTTTCTTTTTCTGCAATATTTTCTATACT